TATTATTATTATTATTATTATTATTATACGTTATATTATTATTATCCTGCTCTCATTTTCTTACCGTTATCCTACATTGCATATTTATCTGACACTTTTCTAATTTTTTGACCTAGTAAATATTTAATTGCCATTTTATATATCAAAATAGAGCAATCTGGATGACAGAGAAACGCTCGTCTCTGAACATAAGCACAAAGGGAAAACTTGTCGTCAGTCCACAGCTGTTTTTAATGTTGTCAACTCGATTATAGGATCTGGTATAATAGGTAAGTGTTGTTTTATTTTGTTTTAAGTTTTAAATGAAAAGACAAAATTTAAGGCTCTTACTCTGTTGCTAGTATTCACTGATTATTTTTGAGGAAAAAATATGAAGTATTAAAATTGGTAATTTTTTCCCATAAAATCACCTCCTTTTTTTCCAGTGTAACCATGTGCACTTTTATGCTGAAGATGAGGTTCTGTTCACACTCTTTCCTCATTTGAGAGCATCTTCCATGAGTGACAGATAAAGTTGGAGCTGCATATGGCATCTGCTGAATTTATTTTTATGGGCTCTATGGTCAATTGATAATAAATAAATAATAATATACTTTTTCCATCTTCCTGAAGTGTCCACCATTACTTGAACCACCTTTCTATGACCTTCTATAGTGTAAATCTCCAGATATTTGGAAATATTGAAGGTACATAAATTTAATGTGAAAACATAATAATCTTGTGAATAATTAAATCATACAGTGTTTCCTTGCCTATCTAGAGTTAAAGTACAAACTTATGATATATTAATTTTAAGTATCATTTAATTATTAAGTAGATATTGGTTAAATGAAAATACATAGATTTTTTTTAATGAAGGAGCCAAATAATCAGAATTGAAAGAAGTGAGCAGCTCATATTTTCCCAGTTTGAAGCAAGGGGAAAATTCTGACAAAATTAGGTGCGTTGCATTAGAGTAATTAAGGCAATTGTTTTTTCAGTGCTTATCATTCTGTTTGTTCTCGGAAAACATCCAATTTAAGAAACAGCAAGACAAAACAAAATCCTGCAAAATTCATTGAGAATACTACTTTTTCCTGTAAAGTTTTGACCTTTTAGTTATAGTCATCATTGAATGTTCATCTGGATTGAGTTACTTTTTTCATCTGTTGCAAGCTGATGTGTCTCTTGATTTTCCTTGATTCCATATATAGACAATTCTTTTTGGTGGTACACAGAATAGAGGTAGGTGAGGCAAAGTAATCAAGTAGGGGCAACGATTTGTTTGAAATTCTGCTCCCATGAACCAGAGAGGTGTGGGCAACTCTGCCAGGCAGAATTCCAGAGTTAATTCCTAATGTGAACACTTTTAAGCTGATTCGTGTCAGCAGCATTGAAAAGTGCCTCTTCATATGTACAGCAGATTTTTTAAGGAAAAATTTTTCATGGAATAAATTCTTGATGGAAATATTTTAAATACATTTTATCTTAAATATGTATTGCCCATAATCTAAAATTGACCATTTCCCAAAAAATTCATAGGAAATACTTTTATATAACCCTTCAGCTTTATAGAAAATACTTTTGCCTTCTCATTTCTCTCTCCGTTTCCTACATGGTTACCATTTTGATTCTGGCATTAGTCTTTCCTCATATCCCCTTTCTGAAGCCTTATTACCTTCTCTGCTTTCCCAGCTAGCACGAAAGGAAAGCTTTAGGTCATTACTTTCCACATATTCAAGGTCATGTTCCCCTCACCCTGAAGTGAACATTATTTGTGTGAACTGGCATCTTGCTGCTTTCTTATTCTTATTCCGTCACCTCATAAATTTGCTTTCTTGACATGTCCTTAGCTTGCATTTTATTCTGAAATAGTATTAACATACTAACATTTGAGTAGCCTTGTGCACTGTTTACAACCATGTCCTGTAAATATGTCACTTTATGAGCTTGTTATATATAGGAATTGAGGGGAAACTTCTAAATTTCTATATGTTTTATTAATGTGATGGGTGGGGCATTTTATGTTTTTTCCAGGATTACCTTATTCAATGAAGCAAGCTGGCTTTCCTCTGGGAATATTGCTTTTATTCTGGGTTTCATATGTTACAGGTAAAATACTATGTAATTGCTTTTTCCTGCAACTTAAATTGTGCAATGATGATTACACACACACACACACACACAGACACACAAATAATTGAATTTCCTAATTAAGAAGTGCATCAAATAATCCTAAAGAATTTAGACATTTATGTCCGAGAAGATTTACTTTGCCTACTAATCCTCTGAACAGATTAGAAAAGCATTATATATCACCAAGCCTAAATCCTTTTCATGTGCCTTTTTTCACTTTGTGCAGAGAGCAGTAGATGGGGGAGTCATTTTAAAGGCTGGGAGAGACTGCTCTGAAAGTGTAGACATCAGGCCTTCCTCTCCCACAAATACCTTAAGCACATGCGCACGAATGAGCAATATTTTCTAGCTATTTTTGTGCAGGTAAGACTGAAAGGCCTGGTGCTCAACCAGCACCTTTCAGGGTGTCCACCACCCACTCCCCACGGTGCCTGCCCAGGCTCCCTACTACCACTATCTTAGAGGGCAGCAATAAGGTGCTTCTCTATCACTTCTCTTCTGCTTCCCCCTTTTCATGTAACATGTTCATTCACACTCACGTTTTGCTACTTTACAACTCATACTCACCTCCTCTTCCTGTTGTTCTCATCCCTGCCCTTTTACCCGCCACCCCCCCCAACTCACCTCATGACAACCACAGGGTCCTTCCTCTACCTTAGGGTCACTGTGAAAGAGGCAGTGATCAAAACCAGATACCCACTTGCGGTGGCTGTTGGTTGGTGGCTGCTGTGTGTGGTCACTTGGATGCCTTTTACCGGGCAATGCAGAACTCCTCAGCTGTCTGTTTCTTCAGTTGACCTGGCTCTCGATGGGGCCACCTTCCTGTGAGGTAATGATGCCCAGCCTCTGGCCAATGACTGACTGGTAGGAACACAAAAGCTGACCTCCCAGCCTCCGGGAGACACCAGTGAGTGTTGCAGGTGTAGCTCCAGAGGGCCTCCACCACAGGGATTGGGCTGAGGATAGTCTTCACCTGAGACCATGCGCTGGCTGAGCTGTTTCCCTTCCCCTGTCCCGTTCTTCCCCTTCTCTCGAGGGCACTCCCTCAAATCCCATGCCCAGGAATCTCTGGTCAGCTCTGCTTCTGGAGCCCAAGATGCCATCCCCTCACAAAATCTCAGGTTTCCAAGACCAGCCTTTAACTCTGTTTTTTCCCTCAGGCTGAGGAAGAGAGAGTAAAGCACACAGTAGTTACCACAGTAGCTGCAGGAGCACTGGGCTGCTTTCCTCCCTGCTTTCTTCTCACCACCTGCTCTCCCCAAACCTAAGCTGCTTTGAGCTTCTAAGCTCTTATTTTGTAGCTTAAGACCCAAAACTGAGTAACCCATGGGACCCATAACGTTGTGCTTATTCAGAGTTTCTGGTGTTTAAAAATTGCATTCTATTCATGAGAACATTCATCACACTAAAAAATCCCATTCAAGGATTACTCTTGTCGTTTTTAATTTCCTGTTTCCCAGTCAGTCATCACTGACAAATAATTTCCACCCAGGCATAATAACCGTGGATTATTTAAGCGCGCTGTAAACATTTACACACACTGTAAGCCAGTAGATAGAAAAAAATTAAAAAATATATATCACCTAAGAATTAAATACTTGAGAATTGACAGTTTACCCAAGCCAAATCACATTATACATAAATAAATCATAATGTGAATAACTGTCTCAACTAATGCCATGCATAAACTTGTAGCAGTAACTGTGAACAGCCTTTTGCAAAGCCATATATTGCAAAGTTACTAATCAGTAGAAATTAGTTACTCTTATTCAGTTGCATGATCAAAATATTTAAGTAACTTTGATGAATAAAGGATGACCACACAGAAGCAAAAAAAAAAAATTACAGACTGTGATTCCTTTTATTTTTTAATTAGGCCTTAAAGAGGAAAATCTACAAGTAGGATATAATACTGAATTTTTCTTTCAGTTGACACTGTAGGGGCCCCTGGGTGGCTCAATCAGTTAAGCTTCTAACTCTTGATTTTGGCTCCGGTTACAATTTCTCATCTCTCGGTTTGTCATTTGAAGCCCCACCCCACCCCCCACATCCCCCCAATCCGTCTGTTGACAGTGCAGAGCCTGCTTGGGATTCTCTTTCCCTTTCTCTCTCTCTCTCTCTCTCTCTCTCTTTCAAAATAGATAAGGGGTGCCTGCGTGGCTCAGTTGGTTAAGCCTCTGACGTCAGCTCAGATCATGATCTCACAGTTTGTGGGTTCGAGCACCATGTCAGGCTCT